AGCTGTAGTAGAAGCAGCGCTAGTAGTAGTTGTAGTAGCAGTGGTAGTGGTAGTGGTCGTGGTGGCAGTAGTAGAAGTAGTAGTAGTAGTAGTAGTAGTAGTAGTAGTAGTAGTAGTAGTTTTAGCAGCAGTAGTAGTAGTAGCAGCAGCAGCAGCAGTAGTAGTAGTAGTAATGGTGTATGTATACATACATGCATCTGCATATATATATATATATATCGATCTATCGTGTGTCGTGTATACGTACATACATCCAACCATCCATGCATACATACATAATTATACGTACGCATTTATATACTGGTGTATCTAGTTACAGTTACATGCATACAAATACGGCACATGCCGAAGATGTTGATATAAGGACAATATATGGACGATGTCGCAGGATCAGGACGCACGTTTGACTCTGAGGCCAACCGTCTCCGTCAAGAAGCGGAGGCCCAGACTTTGCCAGTTGAGGTGTTTCGGTATCGGTTGTTAGCTTCCAGGGCCTGCATCAATTCCCGAAATCCTGGTGCTTAGGAAGATCTAGTGAGGAGGACGAAGAAGTGGAGCAGAGGGTCATGCTGCGTCATCAGAACCGCCACTGCTTTGTGAATGCAGCGTTCTGATGCTTTCCGTTACATTCCCGCGGAACCCTTGAAGAAGACAGTCCGATGTCCTGTCCATGAGCGAATCACAGAAGCGGTATGACTTGAGGGATCCTGTGTCTAAGTGTCTAAACCGCTTGCACCATCAAAGACCGTAGTCGGCCTGCTTCCACAAACATGACTTCCGAGGCAGCCGCCAAGGAGGCAGAAAGGGCAAGTCTGGTCTCGGTCATGGAGGTGCGCAGACGCAGTGCTTTACTCCAAAGCCTACCTAAGACCTTCAACCCGCTCTGAATTCTCTGCCGTCGCACATGTCACACTATCAGACTCGATTCCTGCGTGCTCTCATTGCCTCCCACATATTTGAAATTCTCCCCCAATTGAGCGTGAAGCTGTACCAGGTAGACACCAGCCCAGAGATCAACATGTGAACAGTACTTTTTCATCGCATGAACGAAGTTCCCAGATTTGGGGGTTGAGTTTCTTGGATGGAGAGGGTGCAGAGCATGCTTCCATCCAGCGCAAGCGCCGGCCATTTGCAATTGAGTTGCGTTTCGCACTAACGGGCATGCAATGCACGTCAGTGCACCAAGCCCACGCTTGCAATGCCTCTCCAAGGGAGGTGGTGTTCTCGTCTCGTCTAGTTTGCAACACCTGCAAGCCAGCATCCACTCGTAGCTCCGAGGCAGCAAGGCGGGCGGGTGTTTTCAGACTGCCGACTCCAGATTTTTGTTGGTGTTGTTGGCGCTGTTCAGGCTCAGCGCCGGCGTGCTGCCCGGCGGGCGTCCTCCGAGCAGCGGGCGCTGCGGGCGGCGCGACACCAGGAGCCTCAACACATGCGTGCGGCATCGCAGCATATCGCAGTGCTTTCGCAAGGCAGAAGACTAACGGAATCCGAGGCTCAGACCAAGCTGCAATGCACATAATGCACGAGGCTTGCACCACGCTCGGTTCCTCTTTAACTTTAGTGCTTAATCGCGGTACGAAAATGCGTGCCAGCATTTCCTCGGCCACCCTCAAGGCTCAAGGGCTCCGGGAACCAGGGGCTCCGTTCGTCTCGCTACCTGTCTTTGCTGTGCCTCTTCCAGTCTGCTTGTTCTAACCAGAACCGTCTGCACTGCAGTAGGCAGATCGCAAGTGACTACGTAGAACTGCGAGCCTAAAATCCACGCATGTCTATGTGGGAGAGGGAGCCCAGGCTACAGACCTGGCAAGGCACCTGACTTGATCCCAACTCAAAGGTCGGAGCTTCTCAGGATCCATGTCTGTGTTATTTGATGCACTTTTTAAATGCCCGAGTGTATATGTATATGCAAGAAAGACATGGTGTGCACAGGCCTCACGGTGAATTTTGCGTTGCTGCTTTTGTCGTTGTTTTTGGAACTGTGTGGAGTTAGTTGTTCTGTTATTGCATGGGTTGCTCATTGGGCAAAGAGGAACAGCGAAAGGGCAGTGGCTGTGAGCACTTTAGCCAAGCCGACACGAGCGAAGCTGGTTACGCTTGTAAGATTCCTGGCTGGGATCGATGCCCTCTGCGATCGTGTGTTTCTGTGTGTACGCATGTACACTCATGCCCTCCGATCCCACTCCCCACTAAAGGCAGGCCACTCCCAAGCCAACCAACGCCAAGCTAGTCCCAACAGCGTTACTCACTGCAATCAATGTCAGCAGCCAGGAAAAACTCCCAAGCGAAACACGTCAACCATGTGTCGGCAGCCATCTAGCCCTCGTCGCGCAGTTCTCTGGGTGGACGTAGCTAGGCTCATTGTAGAAGGCAGCACATTCTCAGACCTGACCAATGTGCACAAGGCAGTGTAGAGATGTTCAAGGAGCCCTCTCAGGCGCTCTCTTTTTCTTTTCTCTCTCTCTCTCTCTCTCGCTCTCTCTCTTTCTCTCTCTCTCTCTCTCTCTCGCTCTCTCTCTCTCTCTCTCTCGCTCGCTCCCTCTCCCTCTCCCTCACTATCTATCTGTCTATCTACCTCTCTGTCTATCTATATATATATATATATATATGGTACCCCCCCCCATGTGCCTACCTTCCTCTCTCATTTAACTCGACTTGGACCTCAACCAGCCACCTGGTGTCCAGGGTCTGGGGTTCTGGGAGCTTCATGATCATCTAGCTTTCTGGCATCAGGAGCATCTTTGTATGCCGTCATGAGCATCG